GAGAGAGAGAGAGAGAGAGAGAGAGAGAGAGAGAGAGAGAGAGAGAGAGAGAGAGAGAGAATGAATGAATGAATGAATGAATGAAACATGCCAGGAGACTCGAATCAGGTGTGGACTGACCTGATGATGCAGCAAACGGGAAATGAGGCACATATATGATCTCCCACTCAGCAAAGGGGGGTCCATGCATGGAAGAAACCTCCGTGCACATCATTTACCGACAAAGTGGGTGTGGGAGGAGAAGAAGAAGACAATGGACGGCAGTGCTAAATAATAAATCTCTTCTCCGCCTCGAGCTGCTCTCATCCAACTCAACTCTGCCCCAACATGTCCCAGTGCCATTACAAGGTAGACGAGTTTGAACAATAGATGGATGGACCCAAAGTCTCCCTAATATCCACACTGTCTTGGGACGGTGGCAAGTGACGTGTGTGCGGCAAGAACACTGTGGATATATGGCATCCAGTGCCATTACTAAAGAAAGAAAAAATGGATTTGGCAGGCACTCATTGCAGACGGGTGTGGCTTCTGGATGCGCGAGACACGGCTTACTCACCAAGTCGCTGAACCTCTGCAGAGAATGAACTGATGGATTGAAACTCGTACACAACAAGTGAGAAAACGGACAGGATATGCTCAAAAGCAGAGTACGATTGGGTGATAACTCCGATCTCTATCTTCCCCATGAAGAATAGAGGTGCTACAACAGCTGCTGGTAGCAGCTGGATGAAGCACCGATAACCGCTGGTGAAGAAATTCAAGTTCCTTGATACTGTCATTAGTTTCTGCACACAGCACAAAGAAGGGAGACAATGTCTTGTTTCATGTTTCCAACAAAAAAAAAAAAAAAAAGAACATGGGAGTGACGGGAGACAATCACATCAAATCATCCCCCTTAAAAATAAAAATAATAAAAAATAATAATAAAAAAAAAAATTCACCCTAAGGGACCAAATCCAAAGAAGAAGTATTGAGACAACCTCTTTTCAGAACCCCTTTAACCCGAGATGAAGGTATAGGTAACTGGTGTAACCACCCCTGGGCTTCATCTCACCTGTGCACATGGTGGCTCACCTGGGTGACGAAAGGTTTGTCGAAGATTGCTCCAACGGTCACATTATGGACTGGTCCATATCTGAAATTTTCAGAGAGAAATGACTGATGACCCCCATCCAGCACAGAGTGACAGCGTAGGGGAGTATAAGCTTGATTCCAATGATTGGGAAAACAACCCCCCCCCAGCCATTTTGGTTCAGCGATCCCGAGAGGACAGCGAGGAAGAGGAGCGGATGTATGACGATAAGGCCGACCAGAATCAAACTGATGACCCCCATCCAGCACAGAGTGACAGCGTAGGGGAGTATTAGCTTGATTCCAATGATTGGGRAAACAACCCCCCCCCMCCCCCCCCCCCCCCCGAAGACCCAAAGACTCGTCGGGGAGTATAAGCTTTGGATTTAGGGAGAGACTATGTGGATACCTACTCCGACAGGAAGTAAGAGGAGTGGATGGATGACGATAAGCTAGACCAGAGTGACAGCGTAGGGGAGTATAAGCTTGATTCCACTGATGGGGAAAACAACCCCCCCCCCCCCCACCCCCACCATGGCGAGGACCCAAAGAGCAAGGCTGACAGTGCACAGCCCCCCCCAACGTAGACGAATGAATATCCTTTTCCACTATATCCCAGCAAAATGAATTCCATCAAGGAGTCACCATTCACAGCTTGAATATAAACGGGCTGGGTACTTTTTTTTTTTTTCCTTTCCAAAAACAGAACCTTAGGGCTGTGGCTCCTTTTCCATTCTGGGAAGCATCAGTCCGGTTCCTATTCCACCGGCAAGTCAAAAAGGATTACATTACGCACTCGCACACGCTCCTCCACCTTATGGTGCGAAGGCCCGAAGGACGACATTGATTACTTCCTGACGGAAGGATGTACCACCCTTCACCCCTGCCTAAGTTAGCCTGCTCTACTTGCTTCTACCCTTGGTTGCTGGTGTGATTACCCTATCGCTTTGGTTCCTACAGCTCGCCTAGTTGGGCTCCGGCCATTCTGTTCCTCTCAACTCCTTGACTGTTGGATTTTGTATACTTGCTAGAACTGCTGGTTTGGCCCCTTGCCGAGGTCTTTGCTAGAAACCTTACGCCCTACCCAACTTGGTTGCTAATAACTTTGCTAAAGCCCTAAACCCTAGCTGTCTTCCCCCGAACACAACGCACCCTTATTTTGGCTGCACCTGACCTGAAATATAGCTTGTATACAATCATTATCAGGTTGTGTTATGTTCGGGGGAAGATGGTAGCTGTCTTTCCTTCCCCTTGTTAGGTATGGCTGTTACCCTTGGTGCAACCTCGAATCCTTGCAAACCTAGGTCTGGATTTACTCACTCTTAGGATCCCTTTTTTCTGTAAGTGCTACAGTCTTCCCCCGAAGACAACGTACGGTCATTATAGCTGAATTTGGTGTATCTTTCGGTCTAAATTCAGCTATAATGACTGTACGTTGTATTCCGGGCAAGACTGTAGCTTGCCAAAGCCTGGATCCTGGAGCCTGGGACTGTGGTTTATTTAGCCTTGGCTCTTGCTACAAGGAGCGGCTTTGGGTGAAATCCTCTATTAGTCAGGCAGTGCCTTGTGTTTAGTACGCTTCTTGTGGTCTGTGTCAGTCCCTAAATATGTAGACCTGCCGTTCTCCCTACTCCTCTACTGTAACCCTGGATATAACGTAAACAGACGTGGTCTTCTAATGTCTTTAATGAAGTTTAATCCTGTGGTGGCTTCTTGGTTGGTTCTGCAGGCTCTCTTTTCTGCTTGTTCATCTGCTGTGTTAGTGCTAGGATGAGATCAGATCGATGTCCACTGAATTTGGTGTGCTATTAACTGGATTACTTAAAGCACGGTTCTTTGGTCTCCCTTCCTCCCATAGTGTGAACAGGAGGCTCTCTCCCTTAATGGTAGGCTATCTTTCCCTTCGCTAGGTAGTTTTCTTCAAATTTTTTGTTTAATTTCTTTTACCTTATCCCCCTCCTCCTCATTTTCTGCTTCACTCTACGCCAAAGAACCCAGTATTCTGTTTCCACTTGCTGTTGGACTAAGCTCCAAGCTTCTTGTATATGCAATGCTTGTTTGTCTATTGTTTCTCCAAATTGTCCATAAAGCGGCGGCCTTTCTGAGTATTTGAAAAATGTTATTCTCCATTGGGGACCACTCTTCGGGCACTAATGGTTAATAGGTGGTGTCATTTTCGGCGAATTTTTCACCGAAACTTCCTGTTTGTTTTTTTGATGTTTTATGAGCCTGCATTGTTTGTTCGTGAAATTTTTGAACACATTGCTTCTGGTGATGCAGCATGGTTGCATCCCTGCCGACCGCCGACCCCGACTGTCGACCGTATTGCAACCGACCAGTAGGGACAACCAGTTGGCGGTCTGCCGACCAGTCAGAAAACAACCACCCACTAATTTTTTTTCAGATCTGAGTTGGAAGCTGTCTGCGCTTGCTGAATACAGCCCAAATCTGCTGCGAAACTTTTGGGGATGGGGGGGGTGAAGGGGGAGGATATAGGGGGTATTGGGGGGGGGTATGAGGGTGCTGGGGGGCGGTTTGTGGGTGTTGGGGGGGGGTATGGGGGTGTTTGGGGTGGGTATGAGGGTGTTCGTGGGGTTATTAGGGGTTCTGGACCAGGGTGCCGACGACCCCCCACCGGCAGGTGCCGACCAGCCGACCGGTCGGCGGGTCAGCAGCCGACTAGTCAAGGGTCACCGACGGTCGGGGTGTGCAACACTGTGATGCGGCAAAAAACCCCTTATTTTGGGCCTTCCATTAACCATCTCTCTCCTCGGGGAATTGGAACCCTAGTAGCAGGAGGATAGGGTTAGCTGCCAACAGCTGCACACTGGCGAACGTCTCCCAGATCTCGTTTATTTTCTGCCACAGGGGTCTTATCCTGGGACACGGGATGAAGCGGTGGAAAAGGTCTTCTATCTGTCACTCTGAGCATGTCGCACATAGTTCCCTAAACCACCACTATAAAACGGTTTTCACCTTTGCAGTGAAAGATGCAGATCCCAGAGTTTGATTCCTAGACCTTACCTCACCCATGTACAGTATCAAGTCGACCCTGAGTGTGTTTTGAACCCGTGACCTGTGTTTAGGTAGCTGACTGTTGTCTGTCATATGTCTGTGTAGCTGTCGGGTCTTGAACCGTGGGTCTGTCGAGTAGGGGTCATAGCTGTGTAGGGTCGTAGCTGCTACAGTCCTGAAAGGTCAAGGTCGTAGTTGCTACAGTCCTGAAAGGCCAAGTCCACAGACTTCCGGAAGGTCCGGAAGTGGCCTTTCGAGTGTTGCTCACATCAGACCAGAGGCAAGTGGGCAAGTGGGTAGTCCAACTTTGCTTAGTCAGCGGTACCCAGTCCCAGTCTCACTTTGTCCAGTCAGCAAGTGCCATGTGGGACTGTGTGCACCATGGGCCCGGTGGAAAGGGGCAGACCAGCGACCAACAGAAGTATAAATTAAGAGGCAGCGTCCAGCCATTCAGTCATTTCTCTGCCTGAGCCATGCGGAAGCGCTGCCCAGGCGTCTTGTGCGAGGTGGTCTGCAGATGCCCGAAGTTGAAGTGGGCTGAGAAGGACATAGAGTGTCCATAGTTAGTAGTAGTGCGCGGCCATAGCCGCCTGAGGTTAGAGTTAACTATCGGTGAGGGTGTGTGTACGGTACACAGTGAGTATGCGTGGGGTATGCGGAGATCCAGAGTCGAGTGTGTGTGAACAGTTGATGTAAACACAAAGTTGAGAAGTGAAGTATAGGCGCTCAGGCGCCATAGCCACATTGAAGCGAGTTTGTATCTGAGTTGTGTGGGAGCCTGGCGCCAGTGTGGATTGCCATCTGTTTGCATGCATGCTGAACAAAGACGAAGGCGAGTCTGACTGCAACTACCTCTGTCACTCTTGGGAAAAATGGAAAAATTGGCTGTTTTCCCACTTTTTCCAAACTTTTTGGTGGTCTGCGGAGGCTCGGCAGTTGGGCCTTGTGGGCCCGTTCGAAAAGCAAAAAGAAAAACAAAAGACCAAGTCCGGGAAGGCTGTGCACGAAGTTGTGCTCACACCAATAGTCACAAGAAAGTATCTAACTACGATTGTGACCAGTTTCAGGTTTCCGTTGCTGGTGTTTCCGTTTTCTTTCTTTTTTTTGCTTTCCGTGCCCTGCCAGGGAGGCACGGCGCAGTCCACGGGCTGCTGACACTTTGTTGAAGGAGGGCATGCCCACACTACAACTTTGCAGAATGTATGAAGTTATGAACCCACTTTCCCGCCCTAAGTTCAGTTTCAATTTGTTTCTCTCTTCTCTTTTTCCGTGGACCTGACACCCCTGCCGTAACGCCCTCACTGAGGGCATACTCACACAACAACTTTGGGGCAGGTATCTACCTTGAATCACATCCAGAGGAGTGTTCGTTTTTTTTCTTTTTCTTTTTTGTGGTTGTGAGTATGTCGTTTTTTTTTTAAAGTCTGGCCGTGCTTTTTTCTTTTTTTCTTTTTCGGAAGAGTACCAGAAAAGAAACACAACGGACCCCAGGCTTGGCAAAACTTGGTGCGCAGTGCAAATCAGGGTCGACAAAAACAGGCGCGGAGGTAGTGGTGGTCTGTCTTCCATTCTTCTCAGCTTGTTTAGCCATTGGTTCAACGGGACTGCTAAGTAAAGCATCAGCCATTGCAGGCTTCTAAATTTCGGGGGGTGAATTGTCGCTAGTTGATTCCAGGGTATGATGTTAAGGTTTTCTGGG